TCAGTATACCTGCTCTCATCCAAGAAAATGTTAACTAATATTAACCAAAAATACTTGGGCTCAGTGCCTGTCGTTCAATGGTTAAGGCGCTGAGGGACTGGCGAGTTCGAACCTGGCCCGGGTCTGCTAAACAACAATAACAACTACAACGACAACAACAAAAATAATAGCCTGGCATTGTGGCAGGCACCTATAGTCCCAGCCACTTAGGAGGCTGAGGCAAAAAAATCACTTAAGCCCATGAATTTGAGGTTGCTGTGAGCTGTGACATAGCATGCTACAGAGGGTGACAAAAGTGAAACTTTGTTTCAAAAGAAAAAGTACCTGCTTTGGTTCAGTGCACAGTCATAATGGAACAATGTAGTTATCTAGAAAAGAGAACTTTTGTGTGAGATGGAGATGAACTCTGTTGCCAGTGGTAGAATGCTATAGCATCCATCATTCCAGCTTAGAACTTGCAACACACGGGTTCAAGGAATCCAACACGTGAGTTCAAGCAATCCTGCCTCAGCCTTCCAAACTCCTGGCTATCCTACCGTTCTTTTAGTAGAGATGGGGTCTCACTGTTGCTTAACCTGATCTTGAACTCCTGTGGTCCAGCTATCCTGCCACCTCATCCTCCTTAAATGCTAGGATTGGATATGTGAGTAACTGCACCCCGCCACGTCTTGGCTTTTATGAATAATGCTGTGATGAATGTGAGTGAGGACGTTTATCTTCCCCCATCTGCACTACGTAGTTAGGATATATACCTGTACAAGAGATTGCTGGATGAAATCATAACATTTATGTATTTATTTATTTATTTATCTTTGAGACAGAGTCTCACTATATCCCCTTCAGTAGATGCCGTGGAGTCACAGCTCACAGCAACCTCCAACTCTTGGGCTTAAGTAATTTTGCCTCAGCCTCTGGAGTAGGTGACACTACAGGCCCCCGCCACAGTGCCAGGCTATTTATTTTGTTGTAGTTGTCATTGCTGTTTGGCAGGCCCTGGCTGGGTTTGAACCTGCCAGTCCTGGTGCATGTGGCCACTGGTGCCCCAGCCACCGAGCTAAAGGCACAGAGCCAAATAAGAACTTTAAATTTTAGTTTTCTGAGAAACTTTCAAGCATTTTAATAGATTCTGCAACATTTTTCTTCATCAACTTAGCTAAAAGTTTCTAATTTCTATGTATCCTTAACACACGTTTTTTAGAGTTCGCTGTGAGTATGATGTAACATTTCATTGTGATTTTGCTTCACATTTCCCTAAGAATTAAGACTTTAGGCATCCTTTGAAATGCTCATTGGCCATTTATAGTTCTTTGAAAAGTGTTAATGAGCGCCTGCCATCTACCTGGTTTGCTTCCTAGAATGTTAAGATTACAGACATGAGTCATTGCTCTAGGCCCCTTTTTAATTTTTCTTTTTTTTCTTTAGAGACAGAGTCTCATTTTATCGGCCTCAGTAGAGTGCTGTGGTATCATAGCTTACAGCAACCTCCAAGTCCTGGGCTAAGGCAATTCTCTTGCCTCAGCCTCCGGAGTAGCTGACAATACAAGCACCTGCCCCAATGACTGGCTATTTTTTGTTGCAGTTTGCCAGGGAAGGGTTTGAACTCACCACCCTCAGTATATGGGGCCGGTGCCTTACTCACTAAGCAACAGATGCCACCCCTCTTTTTAAATTTTTAAAGTAGGTTACCTCACCTCAGTCAGTTTTGCCTGTACATTTTACCTATACATGGTGTACCAAAATTTGCCAGACATACATGGATAAGGAAAATGGGAAATTGTAGCTAAATGTACCATTATGTACAAAATATTCATCACAAGATTTTCCATCATATTTTTCTGTACAAAAATAAGGAGATACATATTCTAAAATATAGCATCACTTTTTTATCTTTCAGTCACTTTGGAACACTTTTTTATTATAATTTTGCATGACATTCAACTCTGTATACTTTAAGACATTGAGAACACAAATTAAATATAAATTAACCATGTGTCTAGTGGGAATTTCATTTTCTTTCTGTTCGTTTGCCTACATGTTTCTTACATTTGGTTTAGAAATAGTACATTTTCTCTTGGTTGCTGGCCAATGGTTATTTTATCCTGTAGGTGAATATATATGAAAACTCTTTTGTGGGTGGGGGGAACAGAGTCTCACTTTGTCATCCTTGGTAGAGTGGTGTGGTATTTTAGCTCAGAGCAACCTCAAACTTTTGGGTTCATATGATTCTTTTCCCTGTTTCCCCGTCACTGGGACTACCACAGCTGATATCTACCACAATGCCAATCTATTTTTTTTAAAGATGGGTCTTGCTGTGGCTTAGACTGGTCTTGAACTCCTGAACTCAAGCAATGTACCTGCCTCTGTCTCCCATTATTATTATTATTGATGGTTTTTTGTAGCCATTAGGGTCTCATGGAAAAGCAATGTTGCGAAGAATAAGCACACTAATGGAAATTGTGTTTTAGATAAAGGTGACCATCTGCTCACTCAGGCAAAATGGTGAGCTTTCTTTACTGTTGGTTTATATAATCAATTTTGTGCGTGCGCACTATACAGCA